AATTTGGGTTTTGTTCGGCTCTCTGCATCCAAACCCTCTGCCTTGTTTGTCACAGTCTATGCGGTTTTTATATAATTGGTTAATTGCTTTTTTTAATGAAAGAAGTTTTGAAGCCTAAAGAACTATAGTCTGCTATTAACGTAGGATTTAATCATTGTTCCATGGGAAAGTCGGCATTACATCGAGGATGTTTTAAATACAGTGTAAGCTTCCTGTTATTCGGGCTTTTATGCGGTTCCTTCCTTGCAAAAAGTTTTAATTTATTTGTCGCTTTTTGTAGGATATAGCAGTTGCGGATGCAACAAATATTTTATTTGTAGATAAGTTCTATATTGTTGAGGCGGATTCATTTTTTACAAACTTCTTTTTGGGTATTTCGCCTCAAAAATTTTTGTGAGACAACAGTCAAGACAGAATTTCCTGACGTCTTTTATTACAAATTGATAAATAGTGCTCCTATTTCGCAATAAGAACAAATTATTTATCAAAAAGTAATCAAGAACTATCACCTAGAGGGTATCCTGCGACACACTTAAAGAACCTTTGAAAGTAATTCCTGAAGCAAAAGAAGAAATGAACCAATAGCTAAATTAACCGCGTGTGCTCAAATGAAATTTGTCGGCCATTTTAGTGATTGGATGGATTCACCTAAAAGCAGGAAATTAGTAGCAAACATCCGCTGGTCAAAGTGCTTCGGCGACTTGGAGGACGATTACCTAATCCGTCTTGCGCTGACATAACCGGCGAAGTAGAGGAAGAGACTGAAGAAGGCAGAAGCCATGCTGCTTTTGCAATTACCGGCGATACAGTCGGGTTCATCATTACCACTGCTGTTATTATTATCATTATTATGTGACCAGAGTAGCCAACCGGTAGCGTGGTCGTAAACGGCATTGGCCAATGGCGACGGGCCGCCAACCGGTCATTTACCGCCTCTTTATCGGGCCTCCAAAAATCAAAATCTAGCCAGTGTTTTGTACACTTGCCGACATGTGTTGAAAATTGGAATTTAATCAGCATGATAAAATACATTAATGTCGGTTTCGCTTTAAGGTCACTTAGTGAATGGTATTTCATTTACTGACAAGCTCTGCCGGTCCACTGCGAACTCTTATTATAACATCGGTTTTAATTGAAATTTCAGACAATCAGTCCTTCTTAATTGTCTGTGGTATTTACGGAAATGCAATTTCGTTAATCGTTTAAGTGCATCTGGATCAAACCCAAGACGAGCGTATGGCAGACATTTCCAGGATTTTCAAATTTAGCTCCAGTATATACATTATAGCAAAAAAAACATATATTATAACAAAAAGTAGTTTATAAAAATAAATTTTGTATAATTAATTGGTGAAGAAAATGATCCTCAACATTTGCGTTGGAAGAAGGAGAACTTTAGAGAGAAGTTTTCGAACATACAATTTTAATTAATTTGTAATTCAAAATTATTGATGCGAACATTTTCATTGTCGAATAAGCTCGAGCAGACCACGCTATCGCTATCCAACACGAATTTATTTTCATGTGGTATGGTTTACATATCCGAAAAAAAGTACAATAAACTCGATTTAAGGTGCAAAAATGTTTAAGTTTGGACTGGGCTTAAACAAATTGAAAGGCCGCGCACTTTTGACAAATATGAACACAAACTCAATTAGTAATAATGAACTAATAATCACTCGCACATTACTGTGGACACATTAATTTATTTCAGAACGCGCGCAATGAATATTTGAAAAAATAATAACTAAAGTCTATACTGTAAGCTGATCAGCGGTATTTATTTAAGTACTACTTGAGGTTTTACGGAATTATAAACATTGCATATAAATTTGTTTTCTCATTAACTTATACTAAAATTTCAAAGTATAAAGTAAAACGTTCGTACGAATTACCATCTGATTTAGATAATCTAGAAGAAAATGGAAAACATATGAAACCAATTATATTTGAAATATATCCTTGTTTTATTTATGTGCCACCTCACATCTTTGGCTTCTAATTTCATATTTCCTCACCTAAAATGAATCGTTGGTATGTTAAGCGTTCAAAACGGTTCAATTTTCTTATAATTTTTAAGGGCTAGAAGAACAGATTGAATGCGGTTTAATTTCGATTTACCTTTTTCAAGACTCTTGTTCATTACTAAATACAAATGTATAACAGGAAGAGTCCTTTATGCACACTGGAATTGTTGGTTATATTTTTATGAACAACCTTTCTTGACTTAAAATTTCATTGTCGAAGAGTAAAAGCTGGATTAAATTATCCTTTCAATAAGAATTTTTAAATTCAGCCGTGTGTTTGTGTGGTAGAGATTTTTTATCATTTCAAAATAGAAATTGACCTTAACTGGTTCAATTTTCGACAGAATCAAATGAAAAGACAAAACACTTTGTTTAAGACGTCGATTTTTGAAAATATTTTATATATATTTTAACTGGCTGGCTAAAAAGAACAAAACAACAAAACGAGACTCGGACCAGCCAAATGATTTGCAAATTTTCGCCAGTGAAAGCACGATTTAACATTTCAGGAACTTAAGTAAAATATTCCAAATTCTTATGCAATAAATAGTTTCGTTTTCTCTGTTCTTGCTTAATACCAAATTCATCAATACCCTTATTAAGTTTCCAGTGGCTCCTCTTACATAAAGATCAAAAAGGGAGTCGACCGAAGTAATTCAATTGAAAACTTGTTTAATCGTGCTAATTATTTGTCTTTCCTTTATTCCCTTCAACATTAAAACAATAAAAAAATGGCTTTTAACGTTTTCAACAATTGTAGTTGTTATGTTTCTACATTTACCTACTCTTTACTCATTTTCATTCGACGGCAATCCGCAAATGCTCACATTTAAATTTCTGTTATTTACAATCAAGTAGATTTGTCGCGTTCGATTGATATGCTGAATCCTGTTGAATGCTTTGACAAATATCCCCAATCAAACTAACTGGCTAATTTAATATAAAGTGACGCCTCTACTTCAATTAGCTAGAATACATGTATGCAAAGAAATATGTTAAGAGCTAATTTGGAATTCTCCTTATAATATTTTAATGGTCTGCTCGAGGAAGATATATTAGTTGTGCAAGACATCACCAATCCAATATTTTATTGTGCAATGCGAAGAATGACAGGGCCATTTCCGTAGGTTAACAACTTGTTGGACACATAACAAGAGGACATTTTAAAAGATTTATGATTACATTTTTAAATTCAGTCATTAATGCGAGGCATTATTTGTACTTAGAGAAAAAATTCAAGAGCAGATCAGAAAAAACGTGCAACACAAAAGTAACGCTAATGAGTAGAAACGGATTCCAATCGAGTGTGAACGTATATCGGATGCATCAGATCTAGGAAACGAGAGAAACTGTTGTTCCAATTGCAGCAAAAAGTCCAACAGAAGCGGACAAGCAGAAAATGTATAAATTCTGCATTCTAGGATACCTTTTACACATATAAATATTAAGCAGTCACGACTAAACATTGGCAAACCTCCTAACCTTCCACATAGTTTAATGCGAATGTGCAACATGCATTATTTGGTGTTGGCATTTCCTTATAAATTTAAGGACGTTTTCTCGGATCATATATTAAAGCACCTATTGTGTGTCCTTGGTGCAATCTAAACTGTTACTCGGTTTTAAGAGAAATTGCCTGTTGGTTCACTGGACATTAATTGTTGAATTATTCTGGGAACTTATTAGTTTCACCAGTCATCCCACTTTCCAATTGTAGGTACTCAAGTTGACACAGCAAAATATTTAATTCAATGAAAGTATAAATAAAATCTGGAGTTGCTAGTTGATTTAAAGAAGCAACAAGCCGAAAAAAACAGACAATGAGGTAAAAGAAGATGAAAACCACCCTAGAAGACTATTCTACTAATTTAGCAAAAAATTAATGAAACCAGCAAAAATTCTACTCGTGCGTGATAACATGCGATTACACATCCTTTGAAAAATGCTGTTTTTACTAAACCATGTATAATGTAACGCACTATTAGTAATGTTTAAAGCATTGAGAGGCCGTCATAATTCTGCAAAAGAAAGACTGCATGCCGCCATTAGCTGAAATTGCCATTAGCGACAAATATCATTAAATCGTAAATGGAGGTCGCGTGACAAGAGTTACATTAGATAGCTGATTTCTATTATGTCTTACAGAAAATTCCGCTATATCATGCAGGACGGGTTGGAGAGTGGAAGCCGACCTGTTTCATAGGAAAATTATTATATCACGCATTGATCTTCAAAGACAGCGACTCTTGAAAATACATGAGATATTGAAACAATACTCGAAATTTTTCCAATCGAGTAGGAAATTGACTGAAGTCTTTCAAAATCCCAAATCGCACTTCTGCAGAAGCAAACTAAATGAATTGTAACTTGCATGCAACTAATACAGTGGAAGCAATAAATCCATTACATTGAGAAATCGTCCGGCTCATAAACAAAACATTAACAAAACTGTCGAAAAACTAGACAGTAAATTTATCAAAACAAGCACTGCTTAAACACATTGTCGTTCAAAACAACTACGGATAATCTGTTGTATCCGACAGTCAGTGAAGAAAAATGCATATGGCGCAGGATCAAGTGGAAATTTATGGACACTAAGCCAAGGAAACTTCTAATCCGGAGTTGTAATTCAGTTAAGGATGACATTCTAAACAAAAGATTACCAAGCGAAAAATTGGAGCTGATGGTGCAATTTTGATCAATATGTAGTTTTCACTTGGGTGAGCTCGATGCAGTTTTGAAAAAGCTATTTTAATGTTCAAACAGAAGTACTTTCAATAAGTGTTTTGCTGCAAAAAAATTCATTAAAAAAACGAACAATATAATGTTTCTGGACCTTTTCCCAACAAATCTCCTACATTACATCCTGTTCTTTCTTAACCAGTGCTCCACTTATGAATTTGCAAATTCTGAAATTCAACGGTGGGGGCAAGATTTCATCGAAAATAATTAGGACATTGTATCAAATTTCAGCCCATTGCCAACCTTGCGTTTGTGGAGCTTGCACTTAAACTTGGACAATGCATAAAAGGGCAATAGTTGTATTTTTGGGTGTTTGCTTCCTTATTGGAATAGGCCAAGGTTTACCAGTGGCCTCGTCTGATAATGTGGAGAAGCAGGTACGACATGCAATGTGATATGCTGAAGATTCAAAACTATTGTTATTTTTTGTTGATGATATTCCTGAATACTGCCCTCATTTGGTTCAATTTCAGGAAGAAAATGCCAACAGCAACTGCATTCAAACTCCATGGGGCTGCATCGATATTACTGATCCATCTTTCCGACCGAGGGTAAGTGTAGCGTTTTTTTCAGCATTAATTGATTTTCATATTACTATACATTTAAAAAAAATTGAACAAAAAATCTTGAGTTTATGTTGTTAGGCTCGTTAAACTTTTTTATCAGTTCAGGCTTTGATTTCGTTTGTTTTCAGAGTTTTTGCTTCAAAAAAACATTAGATGAATCAAACGATACGAATTTTGGATTCGCAGCTTTTCAATTTAATCAATAAATTATTTTGTATTTGATTTTATAACAACAGTCTTTCTTTAGGTGCATTTAGAAGTCGTTGTACCTCAGGATGGTTCGGAATTTGCAAGTCAACATGCAGAAATTATAAATTTAGAGGTGCGTATGTTGAAGATTCAATAATAACATTTAGGAATGTTTTCCGGGCTTTGAAGCCGTGGTCTATCGGAATTCCTTCCTGACGTTTCGTCCACAACTGCGGTGGACATTTTCAAAGGCGATGAGGCAGTGGGCGAAGTGATCTCCCGTGCTTTCCGACTAAGACAGAGGCAGTCAAAGCCCGGAAAACATTCCTAAATGTAATTTAACCGCCCGTGAAAGCCTTCATAGTCTGATTCAATAATAGTTAATAAAGTTAGTTACACGTGAACTTTTTGCTGGCTTTTCGTATATTTTTTGAGTAAAAAGTCTATCAAAAAAGTTATTCAGTTAATTCAAAGAAACTCTTTTGATTTCCAGAACAGTCCCGACGAATCAGTCATTTGACCTGTTGCAGAGATATCTAGCTAAGCTTTTAAAAGTATGGTTATTAAATAACGAACTATTAAAATTACTCACAAGCAAGCATAAATTTAGCCGACCGCTTTGGAAATATAAATATTACTTTAAAAGAGTGTAACACATATAAAAATATATTTAGTTGATCAAGCAGTTTTAATTAATAATAGCACATTAATGTTCTTAAAGGTATAAAAATTGACATTAAAATATATTTTGCCAATGAAAATTGTCCAAAAGAAAACATTTGCTAAGCTTTAGGTGCACACTCGACTTATTTTTACCAAGAAAAATATCAATAGTGTTTGGTTTTACAAACTTAAAACTAAGGAATATAAGATGTAGTTGGTAGCATTAAATAAATTTCTTGTATCCGTTGTTTTTGCTTCTTCCCTGTCTTCGAAACATTTTTTATTGCGGTTTAGTAAAGAAAAGTAAAGTTGAAAAATCGCCCACACTACTAATTCAGTAAACTTATTCTGTGAAATCTACTATTTGTTAAAAGAAATGCCTTTCGAGTTTGTTTATGAATTGATTTCAAAAAGCTGATGTAATGTTTTCATAATAAATTAGGAAATTGTACTCGGTAATTCACACTTTGCTAATAATGCAGTTGAAATTTCTTTTATATATTTCTCAGTTACTTTAGAATATTTTATTATGACCCTGACTATTTAATAAACTTTGTTAAGTTTATAGATCTCTTCATTGATAGTCTGCCCAATGAATTAAAGACAGGCACGTGAAGGTAAACACATACGTTTAACACAATTATATTTACAAAGTTTTGTATACAATACGAATGTACGCAACACACTATCGATTCATCACAATATATCTTAATTACTGGCAATATTTTGGATAAACTGGCAGCATTTTGTTTATCACTCATCCACTCGAACAATAAATGATAAGCCTTATTTATGATGGAGCTTGCAATTTACAGATTTCCTCTAATATTAGAACCATTATTTTAAACATGTTCATTTGTTCCTTATATTATTTAATTTCTAAACCGATTTTTTGCTGTCGGTTTTAAGCAATTAAACACACAAAATGATTCATTACTGACGTGCAGCCTGCTGAACTTATATGATTATTTCACGTAGTCGGTCTTCCAACTTCCCGTAAGTGGATTGTTGATATTTTTCAACTTTCAGTTACACAACCCGCACTCACCGATTTAGACCGTCTGCCCACACGTTCGGTAATTAAGATTTTTCATACGTAACACAAATTTATTCATAGGCCAGCGACGTCTTAATAAGAACAACATTGAAGTTAAAATTCTTTAGAAGCAGTTCCCGGCACTTTTCGTTAAGGAAGATTATTTAATTGATATGTTTTTAAATGTTGATAATCCATTTTGACTGTCATCGGAGAATAAATTATAAAATTTAACTGGTTGCCCGCTGACAATCTTAAAATATCAACCGGTTTTCAGCATGTTCTTTTATCTGGGTTTCATTAGGATGACAGTAGATTCAAATAGAGAGATGGAGCCAATAACGGAGGGTCTGTTAGTAATCTAGCTTAAATTTGACCTGGATTTTCCTTCAAATAGTTCATTCATGAGATCTGTAATTACATCAGACCATTTTACCAGTAACGGCTCATTTATTGCTCAAAAAATGTCCACCTCTGAAGTGTTTCACAAATAATAGTCCAACATACTCAAATCCGGCAAGCGCGGAGGCTCATTTCAAGTATTGTTTTATTTTGACGCAAAGCAATGTTTTAAACTCCTTCTACATGTTTGATATTGCAATGGCAACCACATTTTATTTTAAAATTTATAGGAAAGCCACCTGTTTAATACCGCACTCATTTCAATATTCAACATTTTCAACATTTATAATGGTTCATTTTTCTTCACAAAAGTCAAAGCCACTGCTAGAAAAGCCATCAAACGCGCATAAACTCGGTTTTTAAGTGCGACTTGAAGTAATATCTGTTATTTCTCGTCATTTTCAGTGCGAGTAAAACTGAGGCGCTTCCTTATAAGATACCAATCAAAAATTGAAATTAAAAATCGAAATCTCGTGATATATTTTCTTTGATAAATAGATAGTTGGAGCGATTGCAGGCAGGATCGAAGCGGCAATAGTTAAGCAAACTAGCACCTGGTGAAAAAATTTGCATAAAATCAAAGGCGAATCTGCAATCGAACCGTAATTACTATTATTTATCATTATATCGCAGCTGGTTAATGTTAATAAACTAATTAATATGCTCGAAGAATGTTGGTATGGGTTGACCGATATTTTGCATATTTCACTCAATTGAAACAAACCGTTTTACTACCGGGTTAATTGAATGGAAATTATGAATCATACACAGTGTGTCTGCCAATGGATCAAACAGAACACCAAGTAGTTTTGAAATGTTGATTTGCAAAAAATATGCTAATTTTCGGTTATACGAACGGGTTTGTTCGCAAGTTTGCAAAAATAATTTTCAATAGATTTTCAAAAACAGTGTTGTAAGGAAAAACTTCTCATTTGTACACGTAAACCGCCAACAATCGCTTATGAATTCCCCAAAATACCACTGCCACTGAAACTCCCAATTTAACAACTAAAATTCACAAAGAAAATCTGATCAAACGTTAAAGGATGTTAATAAACAAGGACATGGAGAAAATGTTGCAATTGTGAGATAAATAACAATAATCTATGGTTCTTCAGGGCAAACCTTCACGTTATACAATCAAAACTGGCGCAGAAAATGAAGAATCAAAACCAACTAAAAGAATTCCAGATAATATGCAAAGTTCATCATTCGCAAACATTTAGATGCAGCAATTGCGTTGAATAATTATCAATTGTAAAACCTTGTCGATTACATACTATTTTTTATTTTGGCCTTTCGGCTCCTTTGGCTAATTTTCCTTCATCTTCAACGTTTTTTTAACTCCTAACTTTTTCTGTTTCTCTTCAACGTTTCCAACCTACTCCAGCTCCTGGACTTCGCCTCCTTTAAAACACACTAATATTTTTATTCATGTGGAGTCAGGCTCAATATGATAAATTGTAGGTAAAACGCGAACGCCTCAAAGTACTCGTAATTTTCCTCTCCAAGAGGCATGCAAATTAGAAAAACCGTATAATAGGAAAATTGCGCCACACGGTACAAAATCGTGAATTAATTTCAAATAAATCATCGTCCTGCAGAAAAATTCTACTAGCCAGAACCATTTTAAATGAGATCACGCTTTTTAGATTACCATTTATCATTATCAGTTTTCCTTTCTATTGTAGCACTTGGGCACTTGTTTTCCATATGTTATGAACCGGCAATCTATGACTCAAATCAGTTCGGTTTATTTATTTCACTTCACCGTTCATAGTTAGCGATTTATTCACTTCGTTTGGGTTGTAAACTGCGGCCATTGGCTTGGCGCATTCCAATTAATTTTCCGGGTTTTATTTGCAAGCGCTCAAATCAGTCAAGGGTTGTTGCAAAACGATGCTTTGCGTTGTTGTTGAATTCCTCTAGGTCAGTGTCAGGTCACTTAAGCCAGCTAATGAACCATATGCTATTCAGTGTCTAATAATGTGTCCGTAATCAGATCTTCCATTCAATTCACCTGAGAGAAATGTTGGAGATCCAGATGAGCCATGTGCACAAAAAAATCGGAATTTTGGTTTAGACGATGAGAAATTGGTAACTTTCAGAAAGAGACAAATTCATTGAAATGAGTAGGCTGAAGTAAGATTGAGGCAACATCGTCAAGATAAATATGCGCTACGAAATGTACAAAAGACGAGGGAAGAAACAGAAAATACTCCAAAAACACTTGAATCAACGTTAGAATTTCCTCCTGGTGTTAGATTTGAGATGACCAATTTGAGAGACCAATTTGAAAATATTTGAATTCTGTTGTTTTCTCAATCAGTTCAATTCAAAATAATGTTCAATCCCTATTTGTTAGCGCTAATTTGCGTTAATCGCTAATAGCAAACACATCCTTTTATACTGATTTCTCTGCAGACGTGGTTCGAAATCTATTATATCATGAAAAAAATAAGTCATTAACGTTCTGAATAAATTGAAATAATGCTTCAGGTGCCAATAATGCTGAAACGAACATTGGAATAATTTCTTAATCAGAAAAATCCACACTGAATTACCAAGAGTAAATTCTACGGTATAATAAATTAATAAACCCAATGCCATTGAAAATGCATTTGCTTAAGCGGGGAGTTTCTCAAGCGGATGTCAACTGTATCATATTAATAATAGCTATTAGAAATGCAAATGTGTGCCGGGTGTTTTTTCCAAGACCTTACTGGACAAAACACCGGTAATACAAGTAATTACTCGCTTGCTATCGGTTGTTAAACTTTAATTGAAATTTATGCGATAGATTTTTTCCCTTTTTTTAATGGTCATTTTAAGATCGCATCAGATTGTACAGTGCGAGCGATAAAACGCACTTTACTTGGGCACATTTTTCTGAACGTACTGGGGGCATTAATCTGTTTACATTCACCATAATAAACATGTTACCCAAATCGCTCGATATAAATAATAAAAACGGATGATTTCTAGTTGCGGTAATAATCCTGCGAAATTTTTTGGTTGAAAGATTATCAATTTTCTTGGAAAATAATGTGGTCTCGCGGTGTTATTACCGGCTGTCGGTGAACCGCAATAAATAATTGAAGCTATTTTACGAGAAAGAATCCCACTGCAATATATTTTAGGTGCGGAAACGTCCAAACCACATTTTTTACTAAGATTATGACAGACGTACCTACTGTATAATATCGTTAAAATCGAGGATATGAAATATCTTCACTGTCCAGCACTTGAAATTGAGAAATCAAAAGGAAAAATTAAATGCAAAAAAATTGCCTTGGTCCATGACCTGCGGTTTAGAATTTATGTAAAAATTATTAATAAAATCTCCCATTGCCTCACTGAGATTTGATCGAAATCAAAACCACAAATTCCTCTCTATATAAACAATTGAAGCCTCATCAGTAAAGCACAATGAATTTCAACTTTCATATCTCTGAACAAGAGTGGAAATAAGGCCAGTTACGATTGCGATAAATCCAAATATCACAATATTATTGTTCGTAAATCTAATAGGCGTATACACGAGTAATTTTCACTTGCAAAACACAAGCGTCCGCTCTCCTCGACGCAAAATCATAAATATTAGAAGAAAAAAAAATGAGCGTAGGTCTTTTAGAGAGTCGTTCGACATTGCGCAATTTGGTACACCATTGTAAATCTTGACTTTCTTTTGCACCTGTTAAAGTGAATTCTTTGGAACGAATACAAATGTCTAATATAGGCTGTAAATAATAACTTTCAGTGACCGTATGAGAATAATTATGGTATAGAAAATGACTTTAGGT